TAAGTTATGCGTTTGGAGGCAGAAAGGAAAATTATCTGAATGACAGTGCCATCATTTTTATGAATAAAAAAATCAGTTTTAGCTAAATAAAGATGAAATGAAGAAACACGTTTGTGGAGATAAACGGAAGGAAAAAATTTAATGGAAATAAATAAATACTATATAATTGCTATTATGGGAAACAATACGGTGACAAATATGTCGCTCTTTTTTTCATTAATTGAGTTGTACAGCTTTTTACTTTTTTATTCTTTATAATTTGATCTTTATTCATTTCCTTGTTGTACATGAATTTTGACAGCTTCAGTCCTCCGTACTAACAGTGTCTTATTTTATTTCCGTCTTACGTCCTGCTGCTGCTGCTGTGCCTTTTTGCTTTCTTGTGTAAGCAGCAGTTTGTGTTCAGATCTCAGCAGCTTTGTGCTGGCTGAAGCCCTACATTGAATGTAAAGCATATTTCACTCCGTTGTGTCCACTCGCAAAGCTCCTCTGTTTTCTTTACATTTTATTTAAAATGTGGGACTCTGTAGTAACTAAATACTAAAGATTTACGGACCAATTGAGCTCACAGTCAGAAGTCGACACACTCTGCAGAAACCGCTGTTCCCAATGTGAATGTACCTGCACTGAATGTCTCTGTGTGTTTGAGTTTATACAGTGTAAGTGTTCAGCTTTTCTCTGCACTTGTGCGTTTTTGGTATAGTTTTAGTGCTTTGAGATGCACATCGTCTGCCTCGCTGTGAAATGGTGGCAAACACAACTTTGTAGAACAAATTAGTAGCGATGAGAGTAATGTTTTCTATAAATAGACGTGTGACTTGTATCGGTGTTCACTGTGATCACGTCCTTCCACATGCACTCTCGCACCGAGTACTCCACACACAGACAACTGCTGTTCTGGGGACATTTTGCTATTTCAAATTTGGTGGGTTTTGTGTTTTTTAAAAATGTGATGAAGCTCTTGCAATACATTCAACATAAAGTTAAAACATTTGGATTGAAATAAAGCAGGAAATCAAATTTCTCATTTTATTTTGTTCTATTTTGAAATGCTGTCACTTGAAACCAGTGTGCCAAACTGATTCATTCTCTTTGTAGAGCATCTGTCACATATATGAATGTGCAGCATGGCTTCAGTTCAGGTAAAAGGACCTTTGCATAGAAGGACAAGTTATTCCTCCAAATCCCTCTGTGGAAGCCTCCAGAAAAAAAAATCAATTTGTGTAAATTGCATAAAATAGGCGCAAGAATTGCTGCCACAGTGTCTCCTATCATAGCCAAAATCAGCAGTTAAAGTGGACCTTTTCTTATTTCCAACTTCCAACTTCATATTTTTTATTCTTGGACTCCTCTGTAGCAGCTTTGCATGATTTACAGTTCAAAGTAATTCTTCTTTATCTTACACTGGGCCGGTTTTAACTCCTCTCCCTTTAAGGCCCTCATTAGCAACAGATTTGAAAAAGCAGGTAGGTGGTTCTTCTATGTCCCCAAATTTGGATATACCCTCTTTATGATGTCACACAGCTGCAAACTTAAAAAACAAAACTGTCTGAAACTGAGTGTTCTAAGCAGTCTTAAGATGGTATTTTCAGAGAACAGGGGTTATCTCTTTATTTGAAAGTTTCATCATGCTTGGTATGAAAGGCCAAATAGAAAATACAGGAAAGCAGAATAGAGTTTATAATATCCTAAATGTCTACCTGTTCAAAGTGATTTTTTTTTAGGCATGCAAATTTGTGTGAACAACTAAAAATATGAGCTGTTGTTTTTTTTGTTTTTTTCTCATCCAGCTACTGACACATTTCTGTCATATTTAACAGGATTACTTTCTTCCAGAGTTCCAGTCAGCAGCTTGACCTCTCCTCTTCATCTTATCTGTGTTTTCCTAATTGCATTACACTCGGTAATCTTCCAGCTTCTCCTGCTTTCTGAGCATCATTTATTTTAATGTTTGGAGTGCTGGTAGCTGCTTACAGGAGCTTGTGCCTGCTGATGGTTGGTAACGAGTTCATGAACTTTTGAAAATGACATCACCCCATCCTTTCATTAGGTCTCTAAAGATGCTCATTGAGGTTTGAAACATTAGTAAAAGTTAAATAGAGGTCAAGTCTTTTGCAAGGTGCAGTTTTCATTGTCCAGAAAGATTTGTTATAATTTCAGTTTCAGACATCAGTTTGTCTTCTTGCTGAACTGAACCACAGTAAGAGAGGTTTTCACCAGACTACTGCATCCCACTGCATCTTTCTTTCTTTTCTTTTTTTTTAATGAGCTTGCTTCTCTGGCTCCCAAGGTGACACTCACTCTGATTGATCTCTGGAAACATCCTTTGTGCAGCTGCCAAAACTCGAGCCGCTTTTACCCCTAAAAACAGACTAGAGGCTTCAAGATGTTGCAGTAATTTAAAGTCTTAAAATCAGCCATTTTACTGGTACTTACTGTAAATTCAAGTGTTAAAAGTTATCAGCATTTGCAGAAACTTTGATTTTATCTGTTTTGTGCTGAAGAGATATGAAGTGAAGCTGAACTGTGGCCTGGCTGTACTTTCATGTATGTACCAAAAGATGGAGCAGCGAGTTAGTGTAACCTTGCATTTAATCAATAAAAAGCACATTCCTATTTACAGTGGCAGCCAAGGAAAAGGCTGGTAAACTGCTGCCCCCTGGTGGTGAAAGTTTTAGTCGTATTTCCCAGAACAAACACAAAAACCTTTAAACGACACACATCCTTGATTTCTTTTTTGCTGTTAAGTGACAGCCAAAGAAACAATATCAGAGACAGCTGATTGTTTTTATTTATAATCATCTTCTGTACAAACTTGTGATGTTTAACAGTGTTTACCTGGTGATATGAAATGTTCTTACTGCAGTCTATAAGTGCTTTACAGTTCAGTGGTTCCACTTATCTTGCTTCTGCCTACACTGACTTTAATACCTGTAACCTCCTGCAAGCTGGTCCTCGTTGTGCAGAACTAGTTAGTCCTCTAACACGTGCTCATACATCAGGCAGTTGGAAACGTCTTGTTTTGTTTATTCACGTTTTCTGAAGAGGCTCTGGCGCGGACGAGTATTTAATCCTCAGGTTTCTGTGTCGGTGTGTCAAAATCAGTCGCTTTGATGTTTTTATATCTCTCACATTTTTATCTGAGGTATCTGTAAATGAGCAAACTGTGCAATTTTTTTGGCACTGTTGTTGTTGGAATAAAACCATGAAAATGACTGTTGTTTTTGTTTTTATTCTGTAGTGATGTGATTACAGTTATTGTTACAAAAGCATCCTCAGAGCAGTAACAGCTGAACTTACCTTGAGGTATCCAGAGACTTGCTGAGACATCAGTGTGATTAAGATCGATGCTTCCCTGCTCATAAAATTTAATATTTGGTATACAAAAGATATTTATATGGAGGGCCGAAACTATCAAAATGAAGTATAAACTAATAAACAACATATTTTAGACATTTATTATTTTATTGTATTTTTTGCAGTTTACTTCGTCATATTTTATTTTATCTATTGACTTCTCCATTGTATTTTCCTTTCATTTATTTTGATATTATTTCAATCCACCCTTACATACTGCTTTAGTCATACATATGTTTTCTTTTGAACATCCATCTATTGAACTTTCTGTCTTTATAATTTGACAGTTTTTGTAAATCAGGGTGCAGCTGAAATAAGCTTTTATTGTGATTTTAATGTGACTAAACTATTTTAAAAGTAGTGAATGATGATTAGTTGTAGTATTTCAGGCTATACCTATAACTGTTGACCACATATCAGCGTCTCACCCGAAAGTACTCTTTACACTACACTTTCATGCAACACCAAAGACTAGTGGGCGCGAGGGCACTAACTAATCAGTGAAGTCCTGTTAAAGCCTGAAATGCAGCGTTTTCTTTAGTCTTCTTAGCTTTTCAAACCAGCATACAGCCCTAAAGTATGCCCTGTTTTATCCTCCTTTTTAACTCTAATGGGAGCATAATTTGCAAATAATACATCATTCTGTATTAAATTAGACCTCAAACTGCAGACTTGAATCATAATGTCATTAAGTGTCATGGATCAGGACAGCTGAGGGCCATCTTCCCTACACAGCAGGATTATTTTTTTCAGCCAGAGCAGTCTCCCCCTGCTGGTCATCAAAGCCCATGCAGTTTTTAAGAGACAGGTTCACCATTTCTGCATTACCTTCTTCTGTTTCAGTTTGGCACTCTTGCTGCACGCCTTCTATATGGTCACCAGAGGACAGTGTGTGCCTGCCATCACCTGTTTATCTACAATCTGAATCACATTATTAAAGGAACCAAGACAGTGTTTCTACAAACTCCACTCAATTTTACTTAACAAAAAAAAAGTCTGTAAAATAAAATCGGTTATACCTTAATGACTAAAGAGTTTGGGTGATACATACGGAGAGCTTCAGAGGCTGAAAGCAAAATAAATAAATACATAAAAATTTTAAGAAGTTTCTAGTTTTTGAGTATTTTCGTAATCCATAACAAATTTTAAGCCCAATCATGTTTTGATGCATTTATTTAATTTTATTTAGTAGTTTGTTACATTAAAATTGCATAAATGAACCTCAGTTTTTTCCCCACCAAATATTACTTTCTTGGAAAGAAAAACAACTATATTAACATAAACATATTTGAAAAGGTCATTTGATTGTTTCTGAGCTTTTCAAAACATTTTAAAGAAAGTTAATTAGACAAATATTTATTATTTATAACTGCTACAGATGTTTGTTTGTTTTTTGCGGGGGGGGTAAGTAAAATTGTTATAAACGTTTTTAGAGGCCCGTGAAACATGAACTTGTCATCTTGTGATATATTTTTACATTTTTATTATTCTTTGATTTTGTCAGACTTGGTCCTCCATAGAGCTTAAACGTTTTTAAATATAGTGCTTTAGTACTGTGTGTGTCTGTGGTGCAACTGTAGACAGGTAGACAACACTAAGCGCAGTCTCACTCTCTCTCTCGGTGGGACGTGTCCAGAGCCACGCCCACTCTGGCATTTTCCCACATTAATATGCAGCGTATATACTGTACGTTATCGTCAGTCAAAAAACTACATCTCAGGCTCGATGATCTTCTGAAGAAATCCCTCCGCGCCCTGAAGAGGAGAAGTCGCTCCTCTGCAAACACCCTGCCGTTACACCATCCTCCGGCAGGCTACGCTTTTCTCGTCCCTTCCTGGACTGACAGCAGCTGCTCAGCCCAGTCAGGTTTTGAGCATCTGCTGGGACTGCTGGGAGGACGTCGGCTCAGACTGCAGCGCACTGCGATGCAGAGAGGGGGGCACTGAGGCTGTGATGCCGGAGCTGTAATCCGTAAACCTGTGCGGACGGAGCGCAGGGTGGAGCTGGCGGAGTTCGTGCGCACACCTCTGGAAGCTGCTTCCGAAGAGGAGCCTCTGCAGCGCCGCAGCTTTGCACCGGGAACCCGCCTCGGTACGTGACTCCGAAACCGAAGCTGCCCCGGATCCCACAGGGAGGGGGGCCGTAGCGCGGCACCCCGCCCGTCTCGCCTCATTTGGACCGCACGGAACTAAGCCGTGATATTCGCGCACGGAACCCACCGAGCAGCCCGCACCTCTGCGCCAAAGGTAAGCAGCTCCGCGAGGCGCGGGGGGCGCGTGCAAGCGCTCGTGGCTTCCAGCAGGCAACGAGAGCCTGTTGATGATGATGATGACGATGATGAAGGTGCCGCTGAAGCGCCGCAGCACCGACTCCGCGCTGCTGTTCGATCGATTTCTGTGTCACGCGCGTGTCTCTGCACAGACGCGCAGAAAGGGGAAAATGACGTAGGGAATTCCCACAGTAATCCAATAGCGCGCGGCGACACCTGCACATTCCGCCAGTGCGGCCTGCTGCCGCGCGCGGCCTCGCCAGCGGCGCGCGCGCGGACTGAAACGATTAAAGTTGGATGCGAGCCGTTATGTAACGTGATTCTGCTGACGCGGTTCGCCATGAGCGGGGGTTACCTCCACGTCCCCGCGTCTCGGGGGTGCTGCTCCCTGTTTACGTCCACGGCGGTTCAGCTCAGCCCGACGGGATCGATCTGAATCACAATCCATGAAAGTGCAAAAACATCCCCTCGTGTGTCTCTGCACTAATGAAGTCCTCACCTGTTTATTTAAGGCAGAAGGTACCGGGGCTATGTGGCAACATGTGGGCTTGAATACTCAGTCTACGTTTAATTTACCTGATGTAATTTTACATGCACATTTGAATTTTTCTGTTTAATCCGTAGAGGATAAAGTTGTTGTTTCTCACACTCACAACAACTCCGTCACCACTGGATGTAGCTCAGCATGCTGTAGGGCCACAAGGCTTACCTCTTTATGTAAGACTGTACATGATTTTTATGCCTCCTCCCCCTGTCCCACACACTGAGGCACTGCTGCACTCTTTGAGTGGCTCAGATATTCAAAATTCAGCATTTCAGGGAATTCCAAACCTTTAATTTGCATCATCAAAGATACAAAATTAATTTAGTAAATTATACTCTTATACTTGTTGTCCCACATTTACTTTCTTGTCATTTGGTCACACTGGTACACTGCCATGGTGGGCCATTTTGTGGGGGCTACCACATTAGCTACACCCACCTTCAGAGTGGTCCAGTCTGACAGTGTAGACGCGCCAGCAGTGGGTTTAGTGGATCAGTGTTGAACACCAATGCTCCAGAAAGGCTCAGGGTTAGAAATGTGTTTCTAGTCCACGAAATAAATTGTGGTTGAAGAGTGTGGGACAATACATGAATGATGAATCACATGAGTCACATTTAACGACGTGATAAACACAAACATGATATTTGCAGTTTTACTGGTTTTGCTGCATTCGTGCATTGAATTCATGTTTCCATCACTGGTTTGTGGGATAAGTGAGCGGTGACAATTTTATGATAGAAACTAGTTTATTTTTTGGGTCAGCTTCCTGTGTGATGATGAGAGGCAGTTTTGATTATGTAGCTTCACATCACAGCTCAGCAAAAAGCCTTTCTGACTTTCAGCCATCAGGTAGGTAAACAACCCCACAGCAGAGTTATACTGTCCCATTCAAGCCCCAATCCCCCCATAGTTCCCCCTGTAATCTCAACATATTTGTGGTCCTAATTGAGTTTTGCTGTCGTGGAGCCTGCAGTGTCTTTGCTAAATTCCGCTTTGGGAACAACTTTATTATAAATTGTTTATGCTTTGATCTGCTTTCAAGGTAGGGGTTTGGATGAAATCTGCAAAGCTGCAAGCACGCTCAGCTTTCTCAAAAATCTGATACTTGAAACAGATGCGTTACCCGAGATGAACTGGAACATGCAGAATTTCTGTTTGGCTCTTGCAAAGAAAAGAAAATTTCCCCACTTGACAGAATTTGACGAGGTTATGGGGGGAGGTTTGGTCCTGATATCTGTCCTGACTGAGACCCTACAGACTCTTTAATGTTAGCTGCACGTAGGTCTACTGACTGAGGACTCAATATACAAAGTAATTTGTAAAAGTGATGTGGAAAAACAGCATAAACTATCTTTTTGGCTGTTTCAGTTCTACATATACCTCTTAAATAAAGTACTGTAGTAAATGCATGTGTGTTGTAATTGTTCTTCGAAAGCATATTAATATGGGATAAGTGTGATTTTCCCACTTTAATATGAACTGGATACACAGTACATTATGATTGGTGAAAAAATAAAGCAGATGTGCTGCAGTTTGTAGAGAAAACCCCAACAATCAGATAATTCCCTGTTAGCAGCACTTAGTGACTGTAGGGAGGAAGAACTTCCTTTTAACAGGAAGAGACTGACAACAGAGCTGGGATCATGAAGGGACAGCCATGTACTGTGACATGCCGGGGATGTGAGAGGAAGATGAAAAGAAAAAAGGAAAGCATAGAGAGACCATGAATAACAAACAGGTGACATGGCTTTTTGTTTTGTTGTCTACCTCACTTCCTGTTTATTTTGAAATCTTAAATGCACTTTAGTGAGGTCATGCCATTTTTCTTCTATACCTCTCAATCTTAGACCGTATATTAAAAATGGCTACTGTGACATCACCTTGTCTTTTTTGGAGCCAGAGTTGACCATATCTGGACGAGGGGTTGGAGTGCTAAGGTATCAGCTAATGCTACCAAGCTTGGTTATCAGTCTGCATCTATAAACTGGACAGGGTTATGTGCAAGCACGGATATCTACAAATTATAGATCAGTAAAAGACTGGAGGTCTCCTGATGTTAAAGAGGGAGTTCTTCCACCCCACAGTCTCCTAAGTCTTGCTCACAGGGGAACGTCCAATCACTGGGGTTCTGGTGCTGTATGAATGAAAACGAGTTGGATATGAAATCTTCAAATAGTATCATAGCAACAGTTCAAATGATATTTAACCTTTTATACAACTTTAACTATTAGTTAAGCGTTAAGGCAGGGTGTGTAGTTTTGTGGTTTGTAACAAAGTGAAGTGGAGCTGTATGGTGAGAACGAGCTGGGTTATTGTTATCATTAAGCACTCTTATTGAGTCTTTTTTTAGATGGTTAGAAATAGAAGGAGACGATACGTCAGATGTTAAAATGGGCGAGGGATAGAGGGCTGTGTCACCCTGCAGTGATGTCACGAAACGGCTGACTGCTTTATGTGCAGGTCATCATTAATCCATGATTAACTTAACCCGCGAATAGCCAGCTGTCTCCTTTGGTTATTATAATTGTTGGTTTTGCAGATATTCACATTTCTATAGCTGCTCTGTTAATATGAGATTCCTCTGTGGGTCTCAGCCTGATGCGCTAAGAAACTTTAGGTTTTGTGCTCGAATTTTAAGCACTTGGCTGCACAGCATAAATTTGTAATGATGGTCTGCACAGTCACCGGTGAATGAAGATGAGGAGTTAAAGTAAATAAAGAGAGCAGAATACAAATGCCTCGAGCGCAGCTGTTTGCAGTTTTTACACATCCACACACAACCCACATTCCCATTTATAGTAAGCATTTTAAACTCGGAGATATCAATCAGCCTTCCAGCGTAAATGCTATTTTTGACTCCCCGAGGCCTGTCACATGGAGGGATACCTCCCGAGGAGTGACTCATCCTGGACGTTTACTCCCAGGGCGATGTGTTTAGAGGGGAAACATACCCCGAGTGGGACAGCGCTGCACTTTTTCTGGGAAGTGGGAACACACCGGCACTGAAATCCGTGTTTGCTCAGACTGACTCACAAAGGTGCATCTTCCAGTTTTAAACCTGGCCTCGCTGCAGTGTGTGAGCTGTAGTCACTCAAAAGCATGTCTTCATCCACCTTTAGGGTCATCGTGGAGCTCAGGGAGAGGATATTTTATGGTGCTGCATCTTTCTTGTGGATAGAAATAAGTGCTTTTAGTGTGTAAAAGTTAGTTTTTTTGTGCTGGTTGTGTGA